TTTGTTCCCATGATGTAGGCTCCCGATTTACTTCTCTTATTGTTTCTCTTGCTGTGAAAAAACTTTTTAGTTTAATTAAGTCCCAGAATGGGAAAATATTGGAGAAGAGTTTTGAGAACAAAATTCTTTTTGATCTGCACTCCACCTTTGTAGGGAGTGAAGCAGCAAACACCAGTCACTCTCATCTCTAAATCAAACCTGTATCTGCTCCAGTGTGGAGATGACATACCCATAATGCCTTCCTTTGACATTCATACCCAAGGAACCACTTCCCAAAGGTTTAAGAGAGAGAAATCTTTAGCTGTTTGACCTTACTACATTGTTTTGTTCGCCATCCATCTTTGTCCTGACTCCACTAATTCTGGATGTATATATATGAATGGTGGAAACAGAGTCAGGATCTGCTCACCAGCCATGTGGGAGGGGTCCTCTTTTCATTATTTGGTATGTGAATATGTGGACAAACTCATAATATCATGTAATGCCCCAAGCTGGGCAGAAAGCACCTTGAAGAACAAGAGACTTAGGAATGTCTCTCCAAGGGTGTAAGTGATTTGTTAGTTATCTAAAACAAATATCCAAAGGACTTAGTATAGAACTGGTTAATCAAATGACAAATTCAAAAGACAAATAATACATACCCTTATTTCATTATCTTGTTTTCCAGTGTATTTTATTTTTTAAGAAAGAATGCCTTTGTGGATTTTTAACCATGTAGAAGAAGTCATTTCAAACTACATTTGGAAGCTGAGTAAATACAACAATCCCCTGAGCTGGGATGTAGAGGAGGACATTTTACTTCATGAATCAAAGTCAAATGAAAGAGTCTGTAGTGACTCATGGGTGTAACCACATACTTCTGTATAAGTACTGATTTAATAAACCACAATCCTCCAGACATCTTCCTCGTCATTAGTCACAGAAAGAATAGGTAAATATTTAGTACAAAGTACAAACTACTCGAGTTCAGTCTCTCAGAAGCTGCTCCACACTTTGTAGATACATCTCTAATTTTACTTTTGCTTATTTTAGGAGCAGTCTTGTTATGAGTTACTTGAGTTATGATTCTCTAAAGGTTCCTCTCAGACATATATTGTCTAAAAAATAGGTTATGTTTCTCAGAAGCCAAAACATGATTACAAAGGAAATGTTCTTTAGATGAGAAGATCCTACTCTTCAAATTTTCTATGGGGTGACTGTATTGTTTAAAAGAATTGGTAGTTTATAATTATGGTCTGAAATTAGACTCCCTCTAGACAAACTTTTAGATATTGGACTTCCATAGTTCCCACTAGTTTTTTTTTTTTAACCTGAAAGATCTCCTAGGAAGATACTTAGAGACTGAGTCATCTGCCATTGCCTCTTATGAAGGATTTGTATGAATCCAACATATATCTRTTAGTTATGATGAATGGTATCTGGTATGGATATCATATGCCTGATTTTTAGCTTCTCCAACCAGGATATTTAGACTGATATGTAGATTGCTATATCATGGATGTGATAATGTGGGAAGTATGTGATGGGAGGATGTGTGTGGACTGCAGTTAAGTACCAGAAATTATGGGAAATCAAGGTTATGCTACTCTCCTTGTCCCTCATGAGAACTAATTTTTCTCATGAGGGTTTCTCCATTTGCCCACAAACTCTCCATCTTTCTCATCCAATTCCAGTTACTTATAATATCTTATTACTTGTASTATAAACATGCATTTGATTTATTGTGATTCTGTCAGATTCTCTACACTAAAATTTCAGAGCTTTACTTCCTATGGCTAACTTGTTTTTCTTTTTTTCTTTCTCTCTTTTATTTTTATATTTATTTATTTATTTATTTAGGTACCAGGGATTGAACTCAGGGGACTTGACCACTGAGCCACATCCCCAGCCCTATTTTGTATTTTATTTAGAGGCAGGGTCTCACTGAGCTGCTTAGCACCTCACAGCTGCCAAGGCTAGCTTTGAACTCGTGATCCCTGCCTCAGCCTCCTGAGCYGCTGGGATGGCTAACTTGTTTTGTTTGAGGTTTCTAGTTCAGATTATTCAGAAAGAAAATCTGATTGGTAATGCTCAATACTTTTTCTTTTTGTTTTGAAACAAATCTTTATCAAGGTACTATTTAAATACTAAATAATATCTAAATTAACTCATTGTAAGTATACAACTGATAATTTTTAGCGAATTTATAGAGTTGTGTAACATCACCATACTCCAGTTTCTGAATATTTCCATCAGAATGAAAAACTCCCTTGAAACTTTTTGCTTTTTGCTTTTCTATATTACATACCACCCTCAGCTGCAGACAATCACTAAATCACTAATTTTTGTTCTTATAAAAATGTCCTTTCACCAATAATTTGGTTTAAAATAGCAACAGACATAATCAGACATTTTTCACCAAAAAAGACATACAAATGGACCAAACATACAGGAAAAGAATGTTTCGTCTCACTAATCATTAAGAAAAGGCAAATAATTAACATATTCATTGTGGAAAATCATATAAAGATTCTTCAAAAAATTAAAACTAGAATTATCATATGATCCAGCAAATGGAAAAAAATTATATATATAATTTATTTAGGTATTTGATTGCTCACCAAAATGTTGTGTACTTTAACAATAGCAATGCAAGATTTGTTTATTAAATTTATTTCTGAATATTTTGTAATTTTTGATGTTATTGTACATGGAATTACTTCCTTAATTTTATTTGGAGTGCCATTGCTAACATACAAGAATATAATTGTAAAATATTTTGAATCCTGTGATACAGTCTTTATCCTTCTAATAGTTTTTTAATGAGAATTCTTTGAATGTTTGAGATAGATAATTTTACAGTCTGTGAACAAAATTGTCTTATTTCTTATTTCACCGGATGGAGCTATCGACTCTATTTAGTCACCCTTTACCCATCTATGTATGTAATATCTAGAACCTCTGGTTACAATGTTGAATAGACATGATAAAAACAATCATCTGTGCTCTGTACCAGATCTTAAGGAGAAAACATTAAGTCTTTTACTCTGGGATCGTGTTTGCTGTGGGCTTTGGTATGTGCCTTTTGTTATGGTTTGGAGATGAGGCATCTCCAAAAAGCTCATGTATAAGACAATGCAGAAATATTCAGAGGTGAAACGATTCGATTTTGAGAGCTGTAAACTAATCAGTGGATTAATAATTTAAGAAGACTACTGTACTGGTTGGTAACTACAAGCCAGTGGGGTTTGACTAGAGGAAGTAGGTCACTGTAGGAATCCCTGTGGGGTTTACATTTTGCATCTGGCTCTCTGGCTCACTGTCCCCCCACCCCTTTTCCTGGCTGCCTTGAGTGAAGCAGCTTTCCTTTGCCACATCCTTCCTCCATGATGCTCTAAATCGTCTTAGGTACAGAGAAATGGAGTTAGCTGACCATGGACTGAATCTCTGAAACTGTGGGCCCAAATAAATATTTCCTCCTCTAAATTGTACTTGCTGGGTATTTTGGTTATAGCAATGAAAAGCTGACTCAGTGAAAAGCTGACTCTTTGTTTAGGAAGTTCCATTTTATTTCTCATTCACTGAGAATTGTTTTATTATGAGTGTCGGTAGATTTCGTCAAGTGCTCTTTTTGCATGTATTAATTCTGCTCATATGGTGTATTAGATGATTTGGTTTTCACATGTATAATCAATCTTGTATTTATGGGATAAATCATTCTTTTTTACATATTTCTGGGTGGTTTTACTGTCACTTTATTAAGGATAACTATATTTGTGTTTATGAAGAGTATTGGTTTGTACTCTATTTTCCTTGTCATTCTTTTCTAGCTTTAGTAGAGGGTAATACTAGCCTCAGAGAATTACATGTGCAGTGTTCCCTCCTTCTCTATTTTCTGAAGAATTTGGAAAGAATTGTCAGTTTTTGAATTCACAAATCAATTCTTCCTGGAATTGTAGTTGACTTAGGGATTTGTTCATGGGAATATTTTTCCCATGAAAAATTTCTATTTTAGTTTTTTTTGGTTGTTGTTTTAAGTCTTTTCAGACTTCTGTGTCTTCTTGAGTCAATTGTAGCAATTCGTTTCTTTCTAAGAATGTTCTTATTTTATCCAATTTGGGGGCTGAGCTCTTCTTTTTGTATTAGGTGATATCATGAGTTACTGCCCAAACTTATATTCATCTTCCCTAGTGCCTACCCATTTGTGGCTAGAGCAGGATAGAGTGTCACTGTAAAAAACAAGGTTGTCAAATAATCATATTATTTGATAGAGACTAGAAGAGAATATATTCGGGGCATGGTTCCTCTGCAGCTGTGGGATAGAAGACATTCTGAGGATAGTCTCATCTAATACAGCAGTTTTAATATTAGCACAAATCTGTATACTTACTTTTATGTTGAGAACTTTGTGTTGTTGAAATAACATTTGAAAGTGGAAGGCTTGTCACTGTTCCTTTTTTACTGATGAATTCACTGCTTGTGACATTCTGGGGTGGGGTTTCTAATTATGCAGAAAAAGAAGAAAATAAAAATCCATCTAGAATACAACAAATCACTAGCTAGTCTTATTAACAGTCACATTAAAATCCAGCTATACCTTGAGGATTAACTCCTGAAAGACTTCTGACCAACACTTAGAAATACAGCATTTTAATGTTCACTTCTAGATGATCTAGGTAATTATTTTTAACAAGTGGAGTGATATTAGTCTTCTCTATATGCTTGCTATAGGTCATTTTATCTGGTCATCAACATAATCTTGTAAGTTAAGTAAAATGATAATGATGCAATTACTTATGAGACATAGAAATAATTTTAACATAGTCACATAACTTGTAATAGGAAAGAGCCAGGACCAGAGTCAAAGCCTATATAAAATAAAAGTTCATAACTATGCTGGAAAGGAGAAGGTAAGGAAGTAGTAGTAGTTAAAAGTGGTATTATGGTTCTAGGAGATGATTTTCAGGTAGGTAGAATATCCTGAGGAGGTGGGTTAGGAGGAAGCAGATAGAATATACTTTTAATTATACTAACTTACTTTTCTTTTTCTTTTTTTTTAAAGAGAGAGGTAGAGAGAGGTAGAGAGAGACAGAGAATTTTTAATATTTATTTTTTAGTTATCGGTGGGCACAACATCTTTGTTTGTATGTGGTGCTGAGGATCGAACCCGGGTCGCACGCATGCCAGGCGAGCATGCTACCGCTTGAGCCACATCCCCACCCCAACTAACTTACTTTTCTGAAAAAAAAAAGAATAGTTAACAAAAAGAAAAGATAAAATTGAGACTTCCAAAAAGGAATAAATTAAAACAGTATTTGTATAAATATCATAAAAAATGATTTAAGCTCTTCACTCCTCAAAATCTAGAATAGGGAACAAGGAGACAGTAAAGAAAACACAAACATGCCAATTAGTAAATATTTAACTAGATACAATGTTAGGACATGGAAAAAAAAAAAGCAGTTTAGTATGATCCTATCATAGAGTAGGATGGAGCATRAACTGGTAGTTTCTTCCAGAAGTGCCAGCTTCTACTCTAGGGTAAAAAGCATCTACAAAATCATGCAAAATATTGGTGCCATTGAGAGAATCATTCTGGAGAAATACAAATTTTCAAGACTTCATAAATATTAGATAAATATGTATTTAGATAAAAACACTTCAGGAGTCGATATGCAAATAAAACTAAAATAAATTCAAACAAAAAACTACAGTGTTAGCATATGAGAAAAACTTCAGAGATATCTTGAAGTATAAAATTGAGAAATAAATACTTGATCAAGTAGTGGCTGGTTTAGATGTAGCAGCAGGGCTGAAATTGATGTTTATAATAGCACAGACGAGGGAAAGGTCACCCAAGGTGCAGAAACTCAACACTTGAGAATGTGGGCACATATGTGGGTAAAGATTTTGCTTCCTACTGGAACTCCTACATATGCTTGGGAACCATTAAATAGAAGTTCCTCTTCAGAATTTTTTAGGTAAGAATTCTTCAATTTAGCTAAAATATAAATATTTGAAAGCTATCCTGTAGTATAAAGAATTACATAGTAAGAGGACAGTGCAATTCTCACCACCTCCACCTCTCCTCATGCAGTACTTGGGCTTGCACCAGACTGGTCAGAGGACAAGTGTTTTGGGCTCCTCACCACAACTGGGTCTGCTGCCAGAAATCAGCACCAATGTCTGATGAAGCATTCATTGCACAATAGCTGCTACCATTCCCATTATAGGAGTTGCCAAACAGTGAGTTCCACACACCCACTGCTGTTAGCACTACATCTGCCTGAACTTCCCACTCTGGAAGGGCCCTCAGGTCACTGTGACTTTGTGACTCAACCATGGTATGTACTGGGCCCAAAGTCATTGATCACAGCCAAAAAAACTGCAGGGAGTCTATACTGTGGTGCCCACCTAGAAACAAAGCATACATTTCACTATAATATAACTCACCAAGATAYATCATAATGAAACCACTTATTAAGATATTCACCTCATAAAAATGGTAGAAATAACTAACGGATCCATCAAATACATAAATATCAATGTAGGAGCACAAAAAATATGGAAAAAACAAGGTAACATTCCTCAAAAGTTAYACATTAACTCTAGCAACAGATTTCAAAGAAATAGATAAAATGATGGATAAATGTTTTAAAAGAATGATTATAAAAATCAATGGGAACCAAGAGAATATAGATAAAAATTGAAGTTAGGATTCCTGGGCCTAGTCACGTACACAGGAAGGAGAAAGATAATGGGGAGGTGGGGAGGCAGGAGAACAAAGGAATGAACCCCAGGACATATAAAAATGGCAGAACACCTCACTTCTCTGGATACCAGGATACCATCTATGGCCCCCTTCTCCCTCTTGGGAGAAGTCTATGTTACCCCTTTTTAAATAAACCCTGCTTCATATGCAAAAAAAAAAAACAGAGAAGGATATAACAACAAGAATAAAAAAATTATAGATCAATATTCCTGATGAAACTAGGTGCAAAAATTCTGAATAAAATACTTGTAAATTAAATTCAACAGCACATCAAAAGGATAATTCAGGGGCTGGGGTTGTGGCTCAGTGGTAGTGCATTTGTCTGGCATGTGTGAGGCACTGGGTTCAATCCTCAGTACCACATATAAACAAACGAACAAACAAACAAACAAATAAATAAAAGGTATTGTGTCCATCTACAACTAAAAATGAATAAATAAATCAATAAATAAAAATTCACAAGGATCCAGTTGGTTTCATCCTAAAAATGCAAGGATAGTTTGAKATATGCAAATCAATAAATGTAATACATTACATCAAAGCATGAAAAATAGTCATATGATCATCTCAATCGATGAGGAAAAGGCATTGAATATAATTCACCATCCCTTTGTGACAAAAGCCATGAACAAATTAGATATAGAAGGATCATAGCTCAACAAAATACTGACWATATTTGATTAACTCACAAGCAACATCATACCAAATGGGGAAAAATTGAAATAATTTCCTCTAAGATGAAGAACAAGACAAGAGTATCCATTTTCACAGCTTTTACTTTTACTTGATATGGTACCAGAAGTTTTAACCAGAGGAATTAGGCAAGAAAAATAAATAAAAAGCATAAAAAATATAAAGTGAGAAAGTCAAATTGTCCCTGTTTGCAGATTCTAAATATAGAAAACTTAAAGTTTCTATGAAGAAGGCAATGATCTGAATAGACATTCCCCAAAAGAAGAAATAAAAATTATCAACAAATATATGAAAAAAATGCTCAATGTCATTAGCCACTGAGGAAATGCAAAACTACTATCAGACACCATCTCACCCAGTTAGAATGGCTTATATATAAATGATATATGACTATATATATATATATATATATATATATATAATATCACATATCTCATACATATGAGATATATATATATATATATATATATATACACATATGATTCATACATATATATCCATCCCCAAATAGATGTGTGTGTATATTTATATATATAAAATTTTATGTATATATACATATAAAATTAGCCATTGGGATGGCTAATACATACACACACACACACACACACACACACATCCCCAAACCCAACAAAAAATGCTGTCAAGAATGTGAAGACTGGGCCGGGGATATCGCTCAGTTGGTAGAGTGGTTGCCTTGCATGTACAAGGCCCTGGGTTCAATCCCCAGCACCACAAGAAAACAAAAAGAACATGAGGGACTAAAAGAACTCTTATAGAAAGAACTCTTATTCACTGATGATAGGAATGCTAATTGGTACAGCCATTATGGAAGTATGGAAGTTCTTTAAAAAACTAAATTATAGGTCTATTATCTGATCCAGCTATCCCACTTCTAGGTACATATTCATAAGAAATTAAATAAACATACCATAGATACCTGTATGCCCCATTTTAATTGTAACACTATACATAATAGCTAAGGTTTGAAATCAGCTTATGTGCCTATCAATAGATGAAGGGAAAAGTACCTTCTCTTCATATCTGTCTCTTTTACACTTATCATTTATTTATGGCTTAAAATTTTTTAAATTCATTTCTCTAACTTTTTAAAATATATAGTACCTCATTGTTAGCTAGCACCACTCTATTGTACAAAAGCATACCAGAACTTATGAATTCTATCCAATTATAACTTAAAACTCTTTGATCAATTCCCCCAACTCATTCTTCCCTACTTTCCCCAACCTTTGATAAACACCATTCTAATCTCAACTTCTATGAGAACAACTTTTTTATATTCCACATAGGAGTATAATCACATGGTACTTGTCTTTCTGTGCCTGACTTATTTCACTTAACATAATTATCTCTAGTTCCATCCATGTTGTCATAAATGACAGGATTTCATTATTTTTATTGGTTAAATACTATTCCATTGTGCACACATACAACCCTTTTAATTATTCATTCACAGTGGATGAACACTTTGGTGGTTTACATTCTTTGGCTATTGTGAATAGTGCTTCAGTAGGCGTGTAGATGCCTTCAATAGACAATTACATTTCCTTTGGATAAATATACAGTAGCAAGACTGCTGAATCATAAGGCAGTTCTATTTTTAATTTTCCATAGTGTTTTCCATAGCTGCTGTGCTATTTTACATTTCCCCTGCATTTATAAGAGTTCCTTTTTTCACCCTACATACTTACCAGCATTTATTTTAGTTTATTTTTCTGACAATAGCCATTGTTACTGAGGTAAAGTAATCTTTCATTGTGGTTTCAACTTGTATTATAATCTATAAGATAATTTTAACATCAAGACAATATTGGCCTTATTTTTTAAAACTTATGGTTTTGAAACTCATGTACCTTTAAATCTTAGATTTTGGTTTAGCTGGGATACATGAACTATAAAGCATAATGAATTTTTAGCTATATTTGAACTGGAATAAGGAAAATTTAATAGAAGAGATTCTTGAAAGAGTCATATTAAGTGCAAGAAGAAACCTTGATTTCAACCATACCCTTAAAGGA